CCCCCCCCCCCCCTTCTTCTCCCCCTTAACTTGTATTTAAGAACTTGCATCTTGGAATCCCTGCCTCACTTGATACAGCAAATCTGGCTGTGACAGTCCCACCTGATGACGGAGACTTGTGTTGCCTCCGAAACGTCGTGATTTATTATTATTTTATTTTTATGAATTTTAATTTCAATTTTTTACCTACGTGACTTACCGAAAAAACTAAGAGTATGAATCCTTGCAGTCACGAAAGCTTCAAATCTAGAATAACCTCATACAGCATTCTCGTTTAGTTATTCTCATTGACCATCAGCCATGGTCTATCCACTGCTGGAATGAAGGCCTCTCCAAGCGTGATGGTCTCGCATTGTAAAAATCCATCTCGTTCATCCATGCAAGCCGAGCTCATCTCTGCATTCTCGTGGTGAATTTCCTCTCGGTCATGTTTCCTTTTTTGGCTGCCACTTGTCATTTTTTTTCTCTGCCACCATCTCTTATCTCTTTTAATGACTTGTGTTTGTTCTCTGATCCATGGATGTCTCTTCCTGCATTTTAAGTGTTTATTTAAAGCATGCACTTATCCACTTTCTTTGTGAATTTGTCGACCTTTGTTCAGTTTACTTCCGATCAATATGTCATAGCAGGGGATTATATACTCAGGGATAACTAGAGGGCGTCTGACAAAGTGATGGTTGGATAACATAAACATTTTAACTAAACTCTTTGGTAGCATCTAAATGCTATTGACTACTATAATGAGCCAAGACTGTCTTGTGTGTCCCGCACGTGACGTCACTCCATGTCGACCAGCCCCCCTCATTAATAATCATGAACAGGTTACGTCGTCCAAATGGTCACCCCCCCTCCATTAATAATAATTAGCGGGTGACGTCACTCTACATGGGGGGGGGGGGGGCGAGGCGCCTCCTCCCCCCTCCTCAGCGTCAACTTACAACCCTCACTACAAAGGCACAACCCTCACGTCACGTGATCTGCATCACCCGATTGAGACATCAAAGTGAAAAGGACGTCATGATGAACAAGGGATTATAACCTTTAAATGAAATAGGTCTGTGTCACCGCGCCCTTACAAACTGCACACGCACTGATGCAATGATTATCACGTCGCGGTCTGCCTTTCGCTTGCCAGTGTCAGATTTACTGCTATACACCCGTCCTTGGAGGGACAAAAGGCTCGTGTAAAATAAGATTCTAACTGGGTATCAGACTCCCATGAAGCGGGAGAGGCTATAAGCCGGAGGCGGGCACGGTTGGAAGTCGGCCACGAGTGGGGCTGCCAACGCGCGACGAACCTGTCGGTGTCGCGGAGTCATTAAGTGAAGGAAATTAAATTACACCTGCCGACAAAGTGTTGAATAGCCGTGCAATTAATTCCAGTTTCCAATTGTCTCGCTAATCGTGGGCTTTTGTTGTGTTTTTGAGAAGGAGCCGAGCGTTTTGATAAGCCTTGTCGTCGGGCACAGTGCTCCGTTTCTGCGGTGCATTTTCTGCATCGTTCCCATAGGTCACCGTAATAGCTGTCTCGTTTAGCACGAGGCAGCAATCGAGATAGGGTTGCACTTTGCATTGAGATTTAATCGTGCGTTTGATGGCAAATTAGGGATGCGTATGGCGGGACCGGTGACCTGTGATTAAGTGTAGCCCATGCTGAGCGAAGAGGTCAGAAGGGTCAGCAGTTACACCGCACTTATTTTCAGAACCTGGCATGAGCGCCCACACACTGGGTCGCATTTGCACATTGATACGTCTCGTATCCTCCAATTTTCAAGGAAAACTTCGCCAATTTCTCCATGAAGAACCGTACACGATGGGGCAAATGGCCCGTCCAGGCGATGTGTGGTCGGCTGTTTTTGTCAAGATGTGAATCTGACCCATTATCTATTCTAATGGGTTTAACCCTCTCCCCTCGCATTTGAAGTCATGTAAAAACGGTATTTTAAAAATCTAAAGTATAGTTATATTGAAATAAATATAAGAGAACTGCAATAATTATATTGCTCGTTGAGCTCCTCTGCACAAATTGCGGTTTGATTCGTTGTCGAGTGTCGTGTAAGTTATTGATTTTATTAGATCTTTGTGGAATTTGTATGTTTATCCAGAAATAAAATGTTGGGCAGATTATTACGTACTCTTTATTTGTTAACCAGGCCGCACCCACGTTTCTGTCTGCCGAGTGTCTCATTCGTCTTTTCTTCTTTAGTGGCGTTTGAAAAAAAAAGCAACATCAGACGACAATTGTACGTTTAATATAGTGAGTCATCCCATGGCATCCAAGGTGGGAGCTGAGTGGATTCTTCTTATTCCACAAGTGGAGCGAATCCGGCGACCCGAGCTCGACTCCCGCTCCTCACGGCCAAGACCAGTGACGATTATCTGAACTGTACCCTAGGTAGACTCGGCCTCAAATAAATACCTAGTGCGATGCACAAAGATTTCCACGAGTGAGACAAAGGGGGCCGGGCGTGGTTCTTGCCACCCGCCCTGTCGTGTCCCGTTCCAGCCTTCATAGGTGCACACCAACAGCACTTGCCCTAGCAACATGTTAAGGCTATATGGGTTATTTTTGTCCGTGTTTCTTGTTGGTATGCTTGATGCTTTGGTGAGTACTCGATCCTCCATTTATGGAGGATATATCCACATCTTCTTCCTTGTGCTGGTTTTGGACAGAGTTGAGAGCGGTTCGCAGAGAAACCAGTGCTGTTCTTTTGTCGGGTGTTCCATAAGTGTCTCATTATTCGCTGAAAGGGTGAAAATTTGCTTTACTTAGAACAGTATGTATGCTGCTCTGGGGGAGGAGGGATTGAAAGTGCTTTGTGTCCTGGTGGTGGAGTTGGGATCGGTGTGTGAAACGTGGTTATGGTGCGGGTGGTGTAAAGGTGATTGAGGGAGGACATCCTTTTTTGCAGGAAAGTCCATAAGTATGGCAGTGACAGACCAGTACGAGTAAATGTAATGAATAGATTATAGATATTACAGGTGATATAAATATACCTTGGCATACTGTCGACAGTGCTTTAATTTCAAAAATTCAATGTGGTAAACCCTTAACGCCGGCGTAAACCAAAACGTAATAACACGTGAAATACTGCAGCTGAACACATTTTGTACATTTACAAATCTGAATGATGGTGTAACAAGCATTTGGAACAACTTTAGAAGGTACGATGTGCAGGATTTATTGAATTAGGATCCTAGACCAGAGCAAGTGGAACAAAGTTTGAAAGCGACATAGGTTTCACTGATGTCCATGGTAGCATGCTTCAATCGGGTCTTAATGGATTTGGGAGTGTGCAATTTCTGCATGGAACAATCAGGCTAAATGTAGAGCACTCTTCTTTTTTTAAATCTGCAATTCAATGATGTTGGTGCCGCACGCACACGTCGACGCGCACGCTCAATGTGATTTCCTTGCGTGTTGCTCTCAGATTCCGAAGGCCTCTGTTGCTGCTCGCAGCCAGCGGTAGTTTAAAAAAAAACAAATTAACGTCTTCAGTTTAACACGAAGGCTTTCGCGACCAATATCATCCATAATAGAGGTTTTTGGGTTAGATAGCGTAAATATATAAATGTGCACGAGCGCAGAAGGGTGGTCAACACATCTACGCCTCTATATAAGGAACAAAACAGTAAGACTTCTCCACAAATCTGGCTGTCGCCTGATGAAGCTAGTTGTAATAACTGGCGAAACGTCGTACTCAGTTTGTAAATGTTGTGGCTTGGCTCTCCAACACACCGGTGTGCTGTACTAGTACACTACACTATACACTACACTATATACTACACTATACACTACACGATACACTACACTATACACTACACGATACACTACACTACTACACACTAATGCTGTACTAGTGACGAATTGGCACGTTCTGTTTACGTGACAACCCTTACTAGTTGGCTGTGTCGGGTGGTGGCGAGTTTTAACGACACATTTATATATTTACGCGATCTAACCCAAAAACCTCTACTATGGTCAAAGCACTCGCCGGAGAGTTTATTGCAATAGTTGTTTCTCATGCGTGTGAAGTGAGGTGCACAAAAACAAAAATAGCGGACTGCATACACTTTTGTAACAATCGAGGCACCAATCAGCAAGGCGCGTTTAGATGTTTCTAAAGGCGACATAATCCCGTGACACTCTGTGAACTTCGAATGCTTCTTTTGTAGAAGGGAACTCGAGTCTACTCAGCGGGATTTCCGCTTTACTGAAATGTCAGTGTTTTTTTTTTATCGTGACACTGAATCGGTTTCGACAGGAGAAACGGGCCCCATCTGCAACCCGTTCCACACTTGTGGTTTTCATCTCAATTGGAGCTCTAGATTCTGACGTGCAAAAGAAACCAATTTTCACACGTCAACATACTGTTAATTAAATAAAAATGTTTACACCTATCCACATACCTGTCAAAACCCCTTATCAGTGCCTACCTTATTACAGACCAATTCAGACCTTATTGGTCACCCCGTGCCTTTATACATTTCAAAGTTCACCCTACAAAGTCCCATTTACAAGGGAGAAACACAAACACATAAAAAAAATTTTGTTGTTTCCCGTATTGAAACGATTGTACGCTGTATGGACCTGACAACTCAATTTCCCTGTACAAGAATATGGGTCGACCATATGGGTTGACAGGTATGTATCCATATATATTTTTGGTTAACTTTTCACGATTATTGGCTTTCACTATGTTTACCAAACAGTAATTCTTTAGTCTACCCATTACACGCGCACACAACTTTTGCCGGCATTCCAACAGCAAGCGCAACCTTAAAGCGCCATGTATTATTCAAGTTTCAATTTTGTCTTCGGTTTTCGAAATGCGATTTGAGTTTCACTCCACCGCCTGCTTTGCACGCGTTGTCCGCGGCAGCCCACAGCTGCCTCCCCATCCTCCCCTCGTCGCTCCTTGGCTTCTCTCACCGTTGCGTTTTCTCTCTTGTCTCCACCACCCCTCCCCCGTTGCTTGCTCTCTCTCGTCGTCTCCCAGCCGTGCCTCAATCCCACCCAGAGTCCCTCGAGCGACGTGGTGCTGCTCAACCGCTGGAGCCTCCGTAACTTCGAGGTGCGCCGCGGGGAGGTGGTGTCCCTCATGTAAGTGCGCGGACAAGTGTGCAACGCGATCTTGGAGAAGGGATTAACCGCTCCCCCTCCTCCTCCTCCTCCTTCATCATCCAGATGAGCTTCGCCCAGTCCCGCATGTTGCGGCGTCTGCACATTCCCTTGGGAGAATGCGTTCGAGAGTTGAATAGAATTTGGTGTAGCGAGAGAAAAACCTTGCACGCACAAAGGCGGTGATTCACAATGATCTGTATAGTTGGGTCTGCAATATCATGTTTTGCTTACGTGGCATTTTCCTGCCTGTGTGGTAGCCCAGCACAATGAGAGTCGAGCGTTCATTGTACCTTGTAACACAAAATCCATTACTTGGTGAAATCTATTCATACCTCTGGATATGTACATTCACACATACCAAATGCTGAAGAGTGTCTCCTATGGCCAGCAATGACATTGCGCTAATAGCCACCTGCTGTCAAGTCGATATTGAAGCATCTTAACATTTTTGAAGGATTTATATTGATTTTTGACATTGCGTCGTGAATTTTGAAAAACGCCTGCAGCCAACACCATGAAAGAGGCAGTCGAAGTCACACGCACATTTCTATCAGTTCAGTGATGCCTCCTTTCACCTAGAAACACAAAGTTTTGCCATTTCCAGATGTGACGCTGAGTGTGAGCAATTCCCACCCGATGCCACTTCCCACTTGAACATCCCCGGTTCTACGTTGTCACTTGTCAGTCCTGAGCGCAAGTCTTCCTGCTCGAGTCTACCCACACCAGCGCAGTGAACGTGTTATCGTCTTTGTCTGCGAACGCCTTAGTTCCCATGACAAGTTTCACCGTGGCTTGGTGTGTGATTTGCAACTGTCGGAAAAAGTAACCCGGGGGACGTGTTTCACTTTTCAACGATGTCGCGCGGGATAGTGGCGACGTTCCTTTCTGTGCTGCTCTCAACACCCAACGAGTATAAAATGCTTTTGCGAGAAAATCATTGAACAATTACATCGCACTGGATGACAACTTCCACGTACGGAGTTTTATATTATTCCGTCAGAAGATGTTCCAAAGAGGTTTCTGGAAGCCATCGTGTGCTAAGAGCACGGTTAGTTATTAATTAATTATTTGAGCCTTTTTTTTTTTTACCAAAAAGAGGATATGAAATGTATTACAGAGGAGGAATAGCTTTTAAATATGTATGTGCAAGTAACACTATCTTAAGCAAAACCAAACTGCATCTAAGCATTTGAAATATAACACAATCAGTAGCTGAATGCGTGGATCCTATCTGTGGAAAACATTACAATTCCTTACTCTTAGAGCACTACAGCATTTGCGTTGTGCCAGTAGTTTAACGGCTGCCACAAGACCCATCTCATGCCATCAGCATAATTTTACTGTGATAAATGCTCTCGGCATGCCTCTAAGCACTGGTAAATTGAGCAGCATCCTTTATTTTCCAGTTTTCGTAAAAAGTTTGAATCGCACAAAGAACTGGGACACACATAGGCCAGCGACAGACCGGCACGACTGATTGTCCTCGTAAGTGATCCCCAGCCGCAACCTAGCAAGCAATAGAGAGAGAGAGACAGTGTACGGAGAGTGAGAATGAGAAGAAGCAGATAAGAAAGCAAAGGGAAATAATTGAGCAGAATCCTCATCATAACCAAGGAGTTTATTAATTCAATACTTGGCAGCAGTGTCGTGCAGTATAGTGATTCATCACACAGTATTGGTTTTTGTAGAGTGATTATTGAGAACTTTGATACGGTAACCACAAAGCCTCTGATTGTTTGAGGAGTTGAAAACAGTTCAGTTACGTAAGCTGATGCAGGAGGGCCCTTCCCGAATTTGTATGCACAAGTCAAGGTCGTATGCGCTTAGTGCTTGGCTTAAAACTTTGAAGCCTTAGCAGTGATGAGACGGTGGCATTTTAAGCAGCAGATGGGCTGCAGAATTTTAAATCATTTTGCAACTTGCGTCGATGAACATCTAAAAACGCCCACATAGTTGTGTGTCAGTAACCCTCATGGGGACGATAGCAAAAAATAAACACCGACACCAAAATGTCAAAAGTTAATGCCGCGAAGCTGAGCATTGTTTAAGGTAAGTCAATTCCCCTGTTGCCCACATCCTAAATCACCATAATTGCTGTTGTTATTATTATCATCCATGACCTTCAGCTCAAGGTATAAAGCCTTAACAAAGTGCTCTTATTGAGGGCAGTCCTAATTAACAGTTGTTGTTTACAAAAGCAATGCTCGTGCTCGGGTTCGGAGTGAAAGCAAAGGTCAAGATCGGGCTGAAGGAAGGGTTTATTCGAACCTGAGCGAGGGGAAAAGGGGGGCTCGTGATTTCTCCCAACAAAGAGAAACGCTTTAATTTTTCCGTCCGGTTACAGTCCCCCCTCCTCCTCCTCCTCCGAGATTGCTACATTACCTCTAACCCCTCAGCCGCCGCCTTCACTGAGCACTCGTGGGAAATGCAAGGAGCCCAATGTAAACAGAATGTATATCACATCCACGAGTGCAGGCAGAGGCAAACAACGGGGCCAGCTCCACCAGCCCTCCTGCTCGCCGGAGATGTGCGGCTAACCACATTGACGTGGTGCGGCAGCAACGTGTTCACGCGCGCCGCCTAAGGGACCGTCATAAATGACGTCACGCGATTTTTGACGATTGTTGACCCCCCCCCCTTTCGTCACACGGCGTCACAAAAAGTCAGACCCCCCCCTGCTCAAATATGACGTCACAAAGCTCTGCCCCCCCCCCCCCCAAAATCAAACATGCTTCAAATCGCTTTAAACTATTGTCATTGTAGTGCGTATTTAATGTGGCGCTGCACTCTGATGTTGTAGGAGAAAACATTTATTTAAAAAGTCTATTTAATTAAGTAGAACGTGTTGTCTATATTCATTTAAAGTTGCGCATTTTGATGTGACGTCACATTTCTCAAACCCCCACCCCCTCGTCACACATCGTCACAATTGTCTGACCACCCCCCCCCCAGGCGCGTGACGTCATTTATGGCGGCCCCTAAGTGGTGTGTGCCCGCTCATCACCGAGCACCACGGTGATTATTTTTACGCGGTGGGGGTGGTGGGGTTGCGTTGCCACCGCAGGTTTCTCTGTGCGCGGAACTCTGCGTCTCGCTCGCCCGCGTGCGTGCGTCGTGTCCTCTTCATCATACCCGTGCGCTACATTGTGTTCCTGCCCCTTCTGTCTTTGAAGCGTTTATTTATTTTCTTGGTTCTTTCGGTAAAGTCACGTAGAAGGGAAGTAATAAAATAATAAAAAGAAAACATAACAAAATAATTCTCACGACGTTTCGGCCACAACACAAGCAGCCGTCATCAGGTGAAGACCAGGTCTGTCGAGGCGACAGCGTCTAAATGAGGACGGCTGCTTGTGTTGTGGCCGAAACGTCGTGAAAATTATTTTATTATGTTTTATTTTTATTATTTTATTACTTCCCTTCTACGTGACTTTACCGAAAGAGTCAAGAAGATGAATCCCTGCAGTCACGAAAGCTTTAAATCGAAGTTTATTTGTTTAGTTTGTGTGTTATCACTTTAAGCGAGATTTTAAAGGGGTGGGGGGGGGGGGGCAAAAAAACCTCATCGTAGCCCCAACACTCGCTGTCAAAACAACAAGATTTCACTTTCCCTGTGTTCCGCGTGCACTTAACAGAAGATGCGACCCCATACAACGAATAGCACTTGCAAATTGTAGCAAACAACTTGCGCGTTTATCATGCCCTGGACAATGCAAGTTTTAAGTTCGTTGAATGAGAATATGAATGCAGTCTATCTTTGGTTATCTGCAGTAACGGGCTGGGGGAGGGGGTGACCCAGATCACACGAAGTCGTGTATTATGCAAAACGCATGCAAAATGTGGCGATAAAAACACTGCCTACCTACGTAGAATGCTAAGCACCAAATAACCAAGAGAAATGTTGTGCGGAATGTAATGAACAAACAAGCAGACAACGCGACTCCCCCGTGTATAGGCACACCTCCACGTACAAAACAGCAGCACTTTCTGCGCATCACAAGTTCAAGTTCATTTATTTGGTATAGCCCTGTGAGCCATTCGGCTCTTGAATCGGGTGCAACCGCAACAAACAAAAAACAAAAACATGAACAAGAAAACATCTTAAAGTGAATATGTGACTAAGTGCAAACAGAAAATCCAAGAAAAGACAGCAAAATATTGCAGAAAAAGCACCGTACACCAACGCTGTGTGCACAAATCCCAGTGGGATGCAAGTCAAACAACAACAACAACCACAAGACAATTTAGATTAAGGCCATCAGTCTAACTCCGTACTACAACAAACACAAACGGCCAAACCAAAAAAACTTTTCGAAATCACCAAAAGAAAGCCATAAAAGCAATGTAACAGTGATCATAGGAACTGTGACCGAATTTTCACAATAAACGACATAAACAACATGCACCACCAAACCCTGAAAGTGTCAAACGGCAAACTCTGGGGTGTGCATCATTTTCAGCAGCATTGAGTTCAACACAAGCATAGTCCGGGACCGGTTTCGTTGTTTCATCGTCACAGTCGGACTTACTTGAAACGTTGTTGCAGCTACCAGTTCGATTAATCGGCAAGGCGCCTCTTGGCTCGTTCGCCAGCATTGGTTGACGCAAGCCCAGGCGATGATGGTCAAAACCGGTGCACGGTTTGCTCGTGTTGAACCGATGCTGCCGAAACGTTGCACTCCCAGATAGCCCTGCTGCTGCTATCTGCGAGGAGTGCTTGTGTGTTTTTCACTTGGAAGGGACGGTTACGCGAGAAGGAGGCGTGTTAATTGTGGATTTTTTTATCGAATTGTCGCGCAGAAGATGTGTAAAGTGTGTGTGGTCTACTTTTAGTCGCTTCTTAAACTAATCGGTTAATTCTCACCTGCGCACCGGGTAACTGACTGAATTAGAAGCAGCTCTTCATGTAACCAGCGCGTGCATAGCGACACTTTATAGATTTGCATGCTCGATTCATCCGCTGTCCGGATAATCCACCCGTG